CCGTCTTCATAAATATTTAATAAAATTAATATTTAAGTAAAAAATTAGGGTGTTGTCTAATAAGCTTAATTATACTTAAAACGCTTTAAATATATTTATTAAAAATCTTTATTAAATAATTGAAACGTGTAAACGCGTCAATTTTTTTTTTTTTTTATAAACTTCCTAACATTTAAAATATTATAATTTATTGTTATTACTTACCCCATCTATCGTAATTTGCTTAAACTAGCATTTATCATCTCTTTACTATTACATCTTTTTACAGTTAAACTTAATTAATATAAAGAAAAAATAATAATAATAATAATATTTCGGGAGCAGCAAAAGAAAATAATAAAATGTTGAAAGTGAAAAATTGTTATCAAACGACATAAAACTTTTATACACACACACAAAAAAAAATGAAGAGTTGGCAACCTTCCAAACTACCTAGAGACACCTAGTAGATAGGTAAAGAAATAAAAATAATGGAAAAATTTTCGATTTAAAGGTAATGTTCTGTAGGAATAACATCAGTTTAGATTGCTTCTAACCGGAAATTTCGGTCGTTTGTTTGATTGCAAGCTTTTCAAATCGAAAATTCAGTGTCTTAACTTCTTTCTTCAAATGTTACAATTAGTCACGTGTCACGAAAATCATCAATTAGTCACGTGTCACGTTTATCCTTGAAGCTATGCTGTTGATATTATTCAATTTCCGAAAGAAATTATAAATTATAAATTGGTGAGGAATAAAGAAAAAAAAAAGTATATATATATATATAGAGAGAGAGATACAAATATAGTGACAAGGGCGTTGTATTTTATAGAAGAGATAAGTGAATAATGAGTCTTCTTTTGTAGCAAATTGGGTTGGGTCTATTATCTTCATCATAATTAGAATATTAACTTTAACAGAATTGTACATTCTGATATACAATACCAAAGTGTTTAAAGGTCAAATAATAATAATTATTATTTTTCCCCAAATTTTTATTATAATTAAGGAAAACTGGGTTAATTGGGTGAATATTCTTTGTTGAAAATAATTACTTTAAATTTTGTTTACTCATTTTACGAATTATTTCAGAAATTTTGTTAAAATTCCTATTTAATTGGCCGAATATCTTTTCAAATTTCGTCCATCTGACGAATTTCATCGGCAGGTGGCGTCAAGAAATTATAGTTTGCTATCTGGAAATATATATTCATTTAAAATATATATTCTTTCTGCTAAATATTATAGAAAACTTCTATAATATGTAAAATTCGGGCGAATTTTTTCCTATATTTCACTATTGCGTTTCCATTAAAAAATTCACGAAATGTACGAAAATATTTCAATTATTTTTCATGAATTTTAAAATATTTAATGCATTATTTCTTGAAATATTTTTCACGATTTTTCTACGAAAAGATGTCGGAAAGTAAATCATCATTTTGCAGAAATCTAAGAAAAGATTCCAGAGAAATATTCAACTGAACAACTTAAAATTCTTTCTACAATTAAGAACGAAACTAAATATTTTTTTTTCTTTTGTGAAGATATTAATGTACAATACAGTATATACAGTAAAACCTGTGCAAAACGGAACTTGAATAAAAGGGAAACCTGACTAAACAGCAAGAAGTTCTTCGAAACGGAGCGATTTTCTATATTTAAAAAAAAAAAAAAGTTTAAAACGGGAAACTGCCAAACCGGAAGAAATATTCGGTACCGGGTGATTCCGGCTTACACAGGTTTTACTAGATAGATTCAGAAAAATTTCTGTAGAAATTTCTCCGCTTGTAAGAAGATTATAAGACGATTCCTTCAATTAGGAAAAAATCCTTTATTGAATTTCCAACAAAGATTTTGTTTTATATTTCTGAAATTTGTCTTTATGGAAAGGGCAAATATCCATTTTTCTGCTTGATTATTTTTTTACGTCTGATTAAACAAATTCTTTATTTTCTATCACATCCATCTTTCTACAGTTTGAATTAAGAGGATTTACAATTGCGAATAAGCGGATTTACTTCATTTTTTTTCCCTATATTATAAAATTAATTTAATTTAAGAATTTGTCGACTGATATTTTTCTTTAATGTTTCTTATGCATTCAAACTGATATTTTTTGTAATTTTTTGGTGAAGGTTATACTTGCGAGGCCCATTATGGTTAATTATCAAGACGACGAGTGCGCTACAGATTTCGATGAAAGCGATTTCATCACGGAATGCCTTGAATGGCATAATATTCTACGTGAAATTCACGGTGTTCCACCCCTCACTTTATCTCATCAGGCAAGTTCCTATGCGAAATCCATTAAGATTTTCTCGAAATTTTGTATTATCGTGCGAAATTTTTCCAGTAAACGAGAATAATTCTTAAAAATTCCAATGAAATGCAACGTACATCTTCGGATTTTTAAATATTTAAAATAGGATAATATCTTTTTATACGGAAATTAATTGCATATTATCTTAATCTTTCTAGCTCTGTAGCATGGCTCAATTTTGGTCCAACCACTTGGTACACACCAATACATTTTACCACAGAAACAGTAAAGATATAGGTGAAAATTTATTCTGTAAATGGTCATCGGTGCCAGAATTTGATATTACTGGTAAGGAATACTTTTTTTTAAGATAAAATTATGTTAGAAATTTTTAAAAATTCGCTCGAAAATTTGAAAATTTACCAAAAAAAAAAAAAAAACAAAAAACTGCAATTTATTCAAACAACAAAAGATTTAACTTAGTTCATTAATCACTTTCTTCATTCTTCCTCTTGATCTTCCAGGACAGCAAGTGGCCAAATATTGGTATAGTGAGATGAAACTGTATAATTTCTATCAAGAACCGTCTTTGTTACACGTTCATGCTTGTAAGTTGAAATTTTTTATATTATTTTTACATATTTTATCTAAAAATTATTATAATAGCATAAATTACTCATTATAATAACAAAATTGAACTTTATTCTCGCACGAAATTCGCATATTATCTTGTCAACAAAATTTTTATGCCGTTTCTAAGCATAATTATGTATCATTTCTTTAATCACCGTTTAAATTGTTAAACATACAAAAGTATTTCTTGGAAATGTCAAGAATCTTTTAATAATTTCATTTAAAAATGAATCATTTCGAAGCTATTTACATTTTAAATACTTTAAAACGTGACTCAAACAGTTTCCAAATTTTAATGGCATTTCTCTAAGACAATTTTTGAAGTTTGATTCATAAATTATACATCTTAAAAGTGAATTTAATTAACATAACTTTAAAATTTTAATAGAAAATTACATGGAAACACACAATTCTTGATAAAATTCCAATTTTGTTGCAAATTTCTCAATGTTTTTTTTTTCTTTTTTCGGATTCTGTTTTCAATGTAAAAATCATTGAATTACGATGTCTAAAATCAATTGAAATTCTATTCCTACGGATAAAACGCCCTTGAACTTTTGTACTTGTTACCTATTTTGCATACTAATGTCCCCTTTACCCCCTCTTTTCAAATATTCAATCAATCAAGTTGATGGCTAGAGTGATTTTTTTATTGAAAAAAAATTATAAATTTGATACTGTACTAGCTATTTATATCGCACACATACATTTTTAAATTTAAATTTATATACTGATAAGATTTTTAACCTTCACTTTTATCGAATTTTATTTTTTTAAAAATATAATATATTCCATTAAATCTTGTTAAGTTTTCTGATAAACTTGGATTATTAAAAAGTGTAGAGTAGAAAATNAGGATCTACAAAATCGTTCGCTATATCGGGTGGTATTTGTATCAACAATCCATTATATTTTATTAAAATTAATAAGAAAACATTATAAATAAATTATAGCAGACTCTAGTTAAAGCGAACCTTTAAAGGGTTCATGAGTTCACTACATACAAAAAGAATAAAAAGGATCTACAAAATCGTTCGCTATATCGGGTGGTATTTGTATCAACAATCCATTATATTTTATTAAAATTAATAAGAAAACATTAAAAATAATAACACTAAATAAATTGAATTCTCGATGTAGTGAACTCCCTAAGAACCAAGATAGCTAATTTATTATATAAATAGTTCACTAAATCAATGTCTACTGTAATCTTTTCATCTTATTTTTTTTTTTTTTAGTTTGTAATATTGTGAAATTTATCCATTGTAAATTTAGGTAATATTGCAAGAGATATTATAATTAAATGTCATTTTTATTATGATTAATTGTTCTTACGAAAGTAAATTTTTGTAAAATAACAAGATATAAATAATCAATATGTCGTTAACCTTTTAGTAAATGCATCATTTACTATAAATTGTCAAGGAAGAAAAAAAAAATTTTTAAATGGTTATTTTTGATCTTTCATTCCTAGCCGGATGTATTAAATGCGTGAATTTTACCAAGGTTATTTTCTAAGAAAATGTCGTAATGCACGTATAAATGATTACAAATCATCATCATCATCATCATCTACACTTCTAATGACGTTTACTCGAAATACAGTAAAATTTTATGATAATGAATTTTAATGTTTCTAAGTGTGTTATTATTGATAATAAACATAGACTCCTAAGAAATTGAAAAGATGAAAAAGTAGAGACAATCGTAGAAGAGTAATGAGAGTACAGATGATGATCTATTTTAAAATATAGTAATTTAAAATGATGCATGTTATAAATATACTCATCTTTAAAAGTTATCATCATCATCATCATCTATATTCTTTCAGTAGAAGAATTCTTCCAATTCTCTAACAATCTCAAGTTCTTTATTATTTCTCTCTGTAGCTGCCTTGTCTTTAATTCTTTTTATATTCTTCTTCTAAGTTATCTAACATCTCTATTCTTCTCTCAAGAGATGTTGGGAAGCGTAATAGAAAACAAGGATGAAGATGATTAAAAAGAAAGATTTATAGTTAAATACAGTATTATCAAAATTTTAAAGGATGATTTACGAGTAAAACTTTCAGATAATTTTTTAAGCTACTATAACTTATAAAATATTCAATATTTTATGAAATATTTATGAAATTTTAAATATATTATTATCATTTTTTATATTAAATTTATATCGTTGTATTGAATAAAATCGATGCAAAAATCTTTAATAAATTTTCCAAAAATATATAATAGATTTTAGAAAAATAAATCGGCTCAATATTAATAACTGAATTATTTAAATATTTACCATAAAATTTCCATAATTATAATAATAAAACTATTAAATTAAATTATAAAAAATCATGCTTAAAATTATAATTATGAGAATATATAGCCTATATATATATAGAGAGAGAGAGAATTTTTTAATCAAAAGAAAATATTATAAGAAATTATAAGAAAATATTTTAATTAAATGTAGATATTTTAAAATGTTTTAATTAAAATTTATTATTAATAATTCTTGAAATTTCATTCCTCGTTCAAACAATGTGTGTATGATATTTAACGTTTCCTAAAATCGATAAAGTCAATAATGAATAATTAATTTTATAGAATATTATGTTTAGTTTTACTTAAAATTTTATTATTAAAACTCGAATTGTTTTCTATAATAAAATAAAACAATTTTATAGAATCAATCTTATGGGATGCTATGAAAATGGGGGATACACCAGCCTCTATTGATTACCGTAGAAAATCATACGGATTGATCCTTAATTCCGAGTAAATTTAATTTAATGTTATATATTTATTTACGAAATTATCTTAAATTTAACCTAAATTACAGATTTAAATCGAATTTAAAAGTTATATCCATTTTTTCATCTTCATTATCTTTAAACTTAGCAATTTTCCAAATCAGATTTTTGAGATTTTTTTCTTTTTTAAATAATTAAATCGAAATTTAAATATAATTTTAAAATTAAAATTTAATATATAAATGTTATTAAAAATTATAAATAATTAATTTACTTAATTAAATTTTTAAAATATTGCCTAGAGAAAGGGATAAACTTCACTGCTTCTAGAATCACTTAACGTAATAAAAAGAATTAAACTGCTTAATAATTTAAAAAATATATAATGTATTTAATTAAAATTTAAAGAAGAATCAATCATAAGAAATAGTATAATTTGTAAAAAGTACCATCTTTAAGCTTAACAGTGATTGATGAAGAATTACCATCTTCATCTATTTTATCTCGACAGCCTATAATCGTATATACTATTATTTCAGCTTCTGTGCGGTTAATCTAATGATTAAGGTAATCCGATCGGCTTAAAATTGATAAAATTATATTTATAATATATAATTTTTAATTTTTAACATTGACGAGTTAATAAACGTACAGGTTTACAGCATAGATAGATGCGAACAATGTAACCTTTCTGAGCTTTTTTCTTAATTTTTAAATGATGTAATTTATAATTTAATCTCCTGCACCACATGTTG